CTTTAAGAACGCAATCAAATACAACGTTCGATATTTTCGATTTCATATTACCTTACCTTCTTCGGAGATCTTTTAGTGTAGCATTTCCTATATGTGATAAGGTAACGAAATTTCCTTCTTCACGAGCAAGGACTTCAGTATTTGATATCACACATCTCTTTTCTAGAGTAGAGACAATGTTTTCATCTTTAATGGCAACATTTTATTCTTCCCATCTATTTGATAGAAGAAAAACTTGGATTGGTTGTCGATTTTATGTCTTCCTCGCTATCTTTCTTTTTCTCCAATTTAGATCAAACGTATATCTCCCATCTTTGTATCTCTCATATCCTGTTTGTGATCTATGTCTTCCGATTCTTCCATAAGATCTGTTTATTTTCTTCCGTTCTCCTGTATTTCTCTTGAATGTCTCTAGGTCTGTTATTTATTTCAGTGACTTTAATTATTCCTTCCATTTTCTTTTCTAGTTTTGTTCAGTCTCCCGTCGAGTAACGTTTCTCTGCACGCTTTCTACCAGTTCCTTCTGCTGCTCTGCTTTCTGTTAATCCTTGAGTTCATTATAGCCCGTAGGCCGTTGATTTATATAGGCTTCAAAATGCTCACTTCTTGCCTTTGCTGCTTTCAGGTTAAATTTCTTTCTTTCCTCTTTTTAAATTCCGGTCTTTTAACATTTAATGAATGGCTTTCGTTACTGCTTTTCTTTCGAAATCAAATGACACTACACATTACGGATATTCACGGCAATCAGACTAGGTCCCTCTTTATCCTTGATTATCGCTACATGCAGACTACTCAAAGACAACGGTCAGATCTGAGTAGAAAGAGTGACAATGCACAAGGTAATTTAGGTGTCATTGGATTTGTGGGATTAGATATACACAAATTATGTACTGTACATGGTCTTGTTTAAGCGAGATTTTTTCGCGAACAAAAAACGTGAGTTACTGTTTATATCGTTTAACATCCTGATTCAAATATATCTTATTGACAAATATATTTCTAATCACTTTATAACATTACAGGATTAATTAAACTACATATTTATAAAGATACAAATATATATATAAATAAAACATCCTTAGTTTGACTGATAAGCTTCCCTCCAGAGATCAAACGGCGCATAAAACTTACTTTGGCCGAATATCTGATGATTTAATAGGTACAGCCACCAATAACTGTTGGAAACTCAACAACCCTGCAAGTACAGCGGAAAGCCTCTGTCAGGCAGCTCTTAGTCTCATCTACAACTGTCCCAAGGCTATCACATGGCTGTCTCCTTTACCAAGGCCCGTAATAATCGACTGTTGCGAGAGAGCTGTATTATGTGCAACGGTCTAGCAACGATAAGATTTTTTTTTAGTAGCTCTCAAGGTAAGGGCTAAGATAATGGTATATAATGGCACCAATGAAGATACTGGCTAAATTGGAATATAGAGTGTAGTTCCCCAATCTATCGTTATAAAATCTGTTATATAAAATATCTACTTGTAATGCATGAAAATTGACAGATGTAAATTGATAGCTAAGAATATGAATCAACAAACAAAACACATATATATGAAA